CCCCAGTCGCTGCGCCATCGCGTCCCCAGGTCGCCTCCGAGTATCCGCGGCAGCCGGGCGGCCTTGTCCCGGGCGACAGGGACGCCCGTGCGGATGGAGCCGCGGCCGCGCGGCTGCTCCTGCGCGCTTTCCCTCGGTCCGCCCCTCCCGGCGCGTCCGCGGCAGGCAGCTTGCTGTCCCTCGGGTGCAGTGTGCCGGTGCTCTGCGCCTCTGCCCCGTGTCGGGGGCACTGCTGCGGGCCCCTGCTCAGGCTTGGTTCTGCGAAGCCGCAGCTCCCTCTGCGAGTCCTGCCTGGCTCCCAGCGGAACCGGAGGGTGGTGGCGTGTGCACACGTGTTTGTGTGTGCACACGTGTCTGTGCGCACACGCCAGCTCCCCAGCTGTTTTCCGGGACCCTGCCGTCGCTGGCCACAGGCAGGAGCCAGTCTGGGGAGGGGTGTGGAAGAGGGTGCACTGGCCCCAGGGTCGTGGCAGCCGCTCTGCTGAGTCAGGACCTCACACAGACTAATCAGTGTCGTGTTGAGCAGGTGTTAGGTTGTACGCCCACTTCAAAGACAGGGAAACTGAGGCACGGGCAGCTTAAATTCCATGCCAGGGAGACTACATCAGACGTGCTCAGAGGGGTTTGGGGATTTAGCTCAGCGGCACATCGCCTCCCTGGCAAGCACAAGGTCATGAGTTCGATTCCCAGTACTGGAAAACAAACAAACAGAAATGCTCAGAATCTGAAGTCACACCACCTGGACCCCTGGGCCCAAGCTCTAGCCACTGGGCTCTCCCCTCCAAGTATCTGTCTAGGCAGCTTGGGCTGTGCCACCAGGCCTTGCCTGTCCCCTAACCAGCAGGTCTCAGGGAGGCCTGGGGAACAGCTGTTTATTGAGCAACTGCCGTGTGCCAGGTATTGCAGCAGCCAGATTTGTGTATTTGTGACTGTTCTCCTGTCCCTGCTCAGCCTCAGGAGGTCAGCGTCACCTTACAGGTTAGGACCGTGGGGGCCCCGTAGCAGGGGTTCCAGGGGGGTGGTCCCGGGGGCTCAGCCTCTGCCCACCTCCGCTCGTTCCCCCGGATGTCCTGGCTGCTCCAGCTCTCCTGGCATGAGCCTGGGACTGCAGCGGGCAGGGAAAGTGCGATGCTTCCTGAACAGCAGAGCGTGACAGTGCCCCTCCTCAGTCTGCCGGCTGTCTCTAGTGCCCGCTGTCCGGGCCCAGACGCTGCTGCGCTGGTTCACTGGCTGTGCCCGGGGCCCAAGCTTGTTACCCTCTGGGCTGTGGCTTCCCCACAAGTAACGTGGAGATAAGAGCAGAGGTCCAGATGCGCTCAAGGTGAGCTCAGGAGGCCAGAGCACCTGCAGAGACCACGGCCGGAAGGAAGTAAGCTAGGAGGTCTCACGGGGCAGGGCCTGTGGCGGCGGAGGGCCGTTAGCGCTTCCGATGAGGCTCAAAGTGAGCACTGGTGTCCAGCAAAGTGGCGCTGCCTCCGAACAGAGCAGCAAATCAAGGCCCAGAGAACGCGTTGTTCCCAGACGCACACGGTGTCAGTGACCGCGGGGGCCGCCATCAAACCCGGGCTCCGGGAATCCACGTGGGCGCACCTGGCCCTCGGGGCGCTGTGCAGACTCAGCAGAGCGTGCACACACGTGAGCCTTTGTCCCTGTCCCCTGACCAGTGCAGGACGACAGCAGCTTTACACGGTGTTTGCGTTGTGTCCCCATCGTGAGAAGCCAGCGGTGGCTGCAGCTGAGGGGCACGTGCAGGTGCGTGTGACCCATGCCCCGCCCGTACCGAGGAGCCCCAGCGTCTGCGCGGTCCTGGAGCCGGTCCTTGAGGGCAGCTGCACCCGATCCTGGTCCCCACCCTAGACTGGACAGGTCCCCGGTGACTCTCTTCCGGGCGGATCTGTCCCTCTTCACAGTGGCACAGATGCAGCCTCGAGCTGTCTCTGCCCTTTCTGCAGCGTGGGGTGTGGCCCGGTGACCAAGTGGTGTCGTTCCAGCGGTCGCACGAGGATGTGTGTCTCGGTGCTGGCACTGGGGTGTGAGTGTGGTGTGGACAGACCTAGGGGCCCCGGGACCACACGGAGGCCAGGTCCATCCTGGGCCCAGGCTCTGAGTCCCCGTCTTCCCTCCACCGTTGGCGAGGTTGTTTCCTGAGTGACGCGCATCTGTAGAAGCTGTGTCACTGACTGTTCTGGCTGCATCTTAATCACATTTGGAAATAATTTCCAAAGAGAAAACTAAAATACAGTCAGGCCACCAGAGCTGCAGGTTCTCGGTCCACAGAGTCAACCAACTGTGAATCACAGATTTTAAAAAAAATTACTTCTGTACTGAATAAGTATAGGCTTCATGTCATTTATCCCTACACAATGCAGAATGATGGCTATTTCCATAGCATTTACAACAAACAAGATGCTACGGGTACCCAGAGAGGACTTAAAGTGTGCAGGTGGGCGTGCATAGGTTATGTGGGAATTCTTTCGCAGAGGGGTTCGGGCATTCCCAGCTCGTATTCACGTGTCACCCTGGGCCCAGTTCCCCACCAGTGCCAAGGAGCCTCTGTGTAGTGCTACTTTCCTAAATAAAAAGTGCGAGGTTTACAAGTTCCTTACCCAGAAAAGTCAGCGCATGCAGAGACATGCTCCCCTCCCACCCCACAGCTGTGCAGACCCAGTGTCCGTGTGTCTTCCAGCCTCACCTACGAGGACTAAAGAGGAGGCCGCCGTCTGCATTGTGCAGGAGCGCGATCAGAGAAGGCCTGTCCAGCACGGAGGCCGGGGCCGACTGCGTGCCCCGCGGTCACTGTCCCTGTGGCACATCTGTGGCGGTCCCCCGTAGCTGTGCATGGCAGCCCGTTACCCCGTTGCACAGATCCAAAGGGTCAAGGGAGCAGTCCCCGGAACCCGGGTGGCCAGGTGGCTCCTAGCTCAGGGTCAGCGCTCAGTCCCCGTCTGCTTAGGAACAGCCCAAGAAGGTGAGGCTCTGTGGGCACCTAACATGCAGGAACACGGTGCTGACAGCTGGATGCCGGTGACATTAGCCCGGCTAATTGCCTGCCAGCTGGTCGAGGTCTCCTGAAGGGAGGCCTCCGGGACCCCACCGGGAAGGGGCAGCCTCGCCAGGCAGCGCGTCCGCGTGTGTGCCAACTGGGTTCTCAGTGACCTTGCGCAGACGCTGCAGGAGCGGGGCTTTGTCTTCCTGAGCGGCAGCGAGGCCTCACCATGGTGATCAGGTATTCAGAGAGCGGCGCCTTTCCCAGAGCAGCCGCTCTGAGCCCGTGGCGACCCCTTCATCTTCCTCGGTAAAAGGCCGCGGTCATCCTGGGCCAAGGCAGCCCTTTTATTCCCGGGCTTGTTTTTCTGGAAACAAAGAGTGGAGGAGGTGGAGGGGAGCAAGGACAGTCAATACTCCTTGGCAGTTTCGTGGGTTTTCTTAATTATTGCTTTTGCAGTGCCTCAGAAATCCCGAGCCAAGCGCCGCTGTTTTCCTCCTCTTGGCAGGAGGTGGGTTTTCTGCTCTGGCGTGGGCTGCTTGGCACAGAGGTAGAGGGGGGCATTCGGATCCCCTTGTAGCTCATAGGTGGCGCATGCGAGCCGTGGGCTTCTCCCAGAACGGAGAAAACCTGCGTGCAGGTGCTGCAAACCAACTTCGGAGCTGTCTGGGAGAGGAAGGCTTGGGCTGGCGAGGTGCATGGGGCAGGGAACTGGCCAGCACATCCGGGGCTCTGCCCCACTGCTGTGTTTGCCGATCCCCACTGTGTGCCCAGCCCCATGCAGACGGCCCTTCTAGCGGACGACCCGGCCGAGTCCCTCTCCCCATCCCCACGGCTTGGCTTAGGCTTTTCTCTAGTTTTGACTTTTTAACGCATGTTTGCAATCCCTAGTGACCGCGGGTGCCACGGGGAACTGGAGCACACGCCTCACACGTCTTCATCCTTTCCTCACCCTTCTGCTTCTCCTCCTCCCTCCCCCATCACCTGCCCCCCTTCCCTCTTTACAAAATGTCCGTCTCCGGTGGCCTGTTATCTGTCGCTTATTTTGCCGTTGTCTTGGTTACTTTTTTCTCGCTGCTGGGACAAAATACCTGACGCCCAAAATTAAGGAAGGAAAGGTTTATTTCGCTTACAGTTCGTGGAAGTTTCAGTCCATACTTGGCAGATTACAAGGCAGAGTGGCACGTGGCAGAGAGCTACATCTCAGGGCAGCAGAACACAGCTCAGCTAAGCAACCACACACCAGGGCGGAATGGTGGAGGAGGAATGGCCTCAAGCACTCTTTTCCTCTCCCTTGCAAATGCAAACTATCCACCCCAGGGCGGTGTAGCTCTCACACCCACAATCATTCAACTCTAATAGCCTGCCCCATGGTCGCATGAGGCTTTGGAGGGGACACACAGACATAAACCATAACAGCCGTTGAGTTTATTTCTACTTTGAATTTCTCACCGAAGAGAAACCATGTGATCGCCTTTGCAAGATAGGAACGACAGGTGCTTTGCGGACGGAGCCACGGGGGTCAGGGTGAGGGTGGAGTGTGACGAGTCACACCACCGTTGGTGGCTGCAGCTGCTTCCGGTCACTGTGGGCCTCCCGGGCTTTTCCTACACGATGGCTTCTAGATCTGTTTGGTGTGGGCCACTTGGAGATCTCTTTTTTGCCTTTTTGAGACAGGGTCTCACTATGCAGTTCGGGCTGGCCTTGAGCTCACTGTGTAGCCCAGGCTGGTCTCAAACTCGAAACAACCCTCCTGCCTCAGCCTCCCCAGGGCTGGGATTACAGGCGTGCGCACACCACACCCGGCTACACCGAGTTCTAAGGTGAAGGTGGCACCACAGAGCACGGGTCCTGAAATTGTCCTGC